ACGCATTATTATGCTGAGTGCATGTTCTGTTTCATGCATGCATTAATGCTCAGGGTCGCATCCACAAGCTGGAGCCTTTTCCTTTGAAGATGTGGCAAACGTGTGTATCTGTTAGCGTTGAGTGACATCTATCAGACACACTGAGCAGCGGTTAGCATCTCCAGAGCCCATCAAAGCCAAAGAAGCATTAATTAAAAACAGTCATTTGTACAATGAATTGAGTCATATCTTAAACACTGCATGGAAATGCCATCAGAATACAATTAAAAACAGACTCATAGGTTTGACGTCTTCTGCATCAGCAGCAAAGCATGTTTCTTCTGGAAGAGGGAGGGGCTCCTCTAAAGGAAACGGCACGAAACTGAATGGAAATTTGCTGCAAGCTGGTGAGAAAAATTAAATTCAGACACCTGGAATCCCAAGAGGCTTCTGAGTTTTAGGCAAAAAGAAAAATATCAAGCGCTTAACATGAGAATTAGACACAGGAAGTTATTTGTCTTCTATTGAAAGGAATCATTTTAAGAGTTGTGTAAAAGAAAAGCTTTCTAGAGAATGTGCACTGGTTGCTTCTGTCAGGGTACGACTGTTTTTCATGTCATGTTTCTAGAGTTTTCTGCTCATCTTTAAAGGATTAAGGTTCACTATTAATTTATGGCAGAAATTTTCTGTGTAGTCAGGCTTAAAATATGGGTTCTGCAAAAACATAGAACTGTGGGTGTTTTAAACGAACACACTAATCGCTGCTCTTCGTTAATAAAGATATGCGATCACATCAGTCTCACTGCGCTAACATTCGCACAGTCAAACAGTGAGGTCAAAAAGTACGTTTGACGCGTACTTTTGACGCGTACTTTGGTTCAGCAGACTCTGAAAAGACAAGCTTTGTAAATCTAGCATATAAATTCATGTACAGATGAACCCGCTTTGCAAGATCTTCTTCTAAGAGGCCATTTTGAATGAAATGTAGAGCAAAGGATCCACACAGAGTTTATTGCGTCAACTACAAACCTAGCTTAACCTGTCTTTGCTATTACCGTTACCGGTGGATAGAAAATTATTTAAAATATATAAATAAACAAACAGCGCTCAGCCTGGTAGGGAGGCAATTACAGCCTGGCAGCCCACCATGCTCATCATACACTGGTTTTGGTTTTCAGGGGAAACCCTGGAAACCCTGGAAAAGGCCTGGGAAGACACGCGTTTTCCCAGACCCCATTTTCTTTTTCCTGGCATGTCCAAGTCTTTTTTAGGTAACTGCATGGAACGCAGTTCCCTAACTGCAGTTGTTTGTGGTGCAATCATAGCGCCACAAACAAAAATACTGCTCTTAAAAAAAATTCCCATTTGAAATTGGCTTCTTCAGGAAGCCACTTACTTAAAGTGTGATTTATATCACTAAACTTCACATAGTAATTACTTTTAAATTGAATTTAATGATGCATTATTGATGTTTGTGGAACAAACAGAGGAGAAACTTGTAAAAATATTATAAATAATAAATGTAGTCAGACAACAATCAATCAAAATTCTTATAAAAAGTCTTTACACTAAATGATAAACAATATCATAACCAACCCCAGCTTTGCTACACCCACAAGCCTGTTCTGCATCACTATTAATGTCACAAAACCAAACACCCCAAACCAACGCCCTCATCGCCTCCTCAAACACACACAGAAACAAGTTGGAAATAAATACTGGGAATTAATATTGGTCAGGTTGCACTGGTCGGGCCAATACCAATGCTGTGCATCCCGTCCCATCGCCTTTGAGCCCTGATCTAAACAATCATCTCACCATCATTTCCATTTCCCTGCTTCTGAAGTCTCTCCAGAAGAAGACTACATTTATTTATTTAGGTTTTTTTTGGGTTTCCTGCAGAAAGCATTCCTCTCTAATGACAGGGGAAGCTACAAGGGGGGTCCATGCAAACACTGTGGCAGGAGAAAACACCCAACCTAAATCTGGTCCTCCTATTAAGACAGAGGGTGGGGAAACAGAGCTGAGATCTTCGACACCACATCTGTGACCAGCAGACTTCCTGAGACACGCTCAGGGTTGGTTAGATTAAACAGTCTGGGTGGAACCGGAGCAGTAAACAGGGCTATATGGAGTTCAAATGACAAGGGTGCTGTGTTTTGTTGTGGATGAAATGTCGACTAACAGTTACACTTATTTCATGCTTTTTAATTTGACCAAAAGCCTTGGATGCCTCGCTGTCAAACATCAGCATCCAACAGAAGCAGCAGCAGCATAACTCTCCTTCTCCGAAACCACAGACCGTTCACAGCACACTGAGAAATATGCAACATGTTTTTGCTGAAAATACTTTGGCTGTACTTCTTGTTTATGGCTCTTGTTGTGGTTTGTTGTTGTCCTTCCGCCCTGCAATAAGTCCAAACTACTGATGCAGTTACAGCTCTTTACTTTAGCTCTGACTGAACCTCCAAGGCTTTCTTATCTGGTCAGGCTGCAGACCAGTTTCTTGGGGAGCCAATAAAACCAAAAGAAAGAGAGACAACTTAAGTGGCAATCAGTAACGAGTTTGGCTGATTAATGAGAAGATTTCCAATGCAAACTTGTAAAAATTATAATTATGGTCCTCAACTGGAAAGTTAGCTTCTTTCCGATAAAAGGTTCAGTTTTCGCAGATTGTTTTGTGAAACGTGACTCCTAACTGTGGATGTAAATCCTATTGGTTGATATTTTTGGTACAGTATATCTGACATATTCAACAGAAAATCCAGCGCAGGACGCTGCAACACATAAGCGCAATCCTACTTGACCCGCAATTGGCTCACGTTTAAAAAACAGCAGATCCATGTGCAGCGTTCAGCTTCCTTGGTGCTAAGCAAGCCATTAAAGAAAACTGGTTCTGTTCTGGGACTATTCTAGAACCTCTGCAGATGATGGTGAGAAGAAAGAAATGGGGAAAAAAATAAATAAATCACAGACACTGTGAGCATCTTTTTGATGAAGAACCTTGAATGATATGAGTTATTGCAACATTTAATTTCCCTTTTGGATGAATAAAGTATTTTTGAATTGAGTCAACATGCTCAAACTGAAACCAGAGCAACAAACAAAGTCTCTAGAAAATTATTTACAATAAACTCAAACAACCCGAGTTATACGAGCATTTCTGATCAGTCGATCTCTAGAAATGAGGAACATAATGATGCCTCGTGGTTTTACAGCAGAAGTACAAACAGATTTAGGAACAGCAAAGACTCCAGAGAGCAGTTTTGTGCATTTGACTTCCAGTCCTAGAGAACTGGAAGTCAAATGCACTTGAAGTGTGATTTATATCACTAAACACAAGAGTCAATTACCTAAATCACAAACCGGGAAAAGAATTTAATCCCAAATTGATTTCAGCTTTTATTCAGATGCAGAACCTCAGACCACCCTGTCTGATTTAGTTGCTCTAGTATCAGCTAATATACTGAAAATATTCCATCACTTGCAAACAAAAAGCTTTAGTCATATTGCATGACTTAAAGAAGAGAAGCTAAGGCATCATAATCAAGGAGCAGCCGTCTTCTCAGCAGAGACGTCCTCATACCTGCATCTGTCTGCTGCTGGTGAATTATTCAGAGGAGAGGAGGTGCAGAAAAGCTTCTGGGTCACCATTATTACAGCAAACAGGCAGGAAGTTAGCAAAGAGAGCAGCAAAGCGTCAATGAGCGACGTCACTTCGGAGCGAGTTGTCCACCAGTCACACGTTAACCTCAATGTTCTTTGAGCGCAGACCAGCTGATGCTGATTTATTTCTCCAAAACACAAAAAGAAAAATGAGCTAAATGTTCCCAACAAAAAATAAATAAAGGAATTACAAAACTATACACATTTATGCTTTAATCCAGTTGTCCCCAAGCTGAATGTAATTATTACACTCAAAAATGTTGAAAAACAGGGACAACTTCTCTGTTTTCATGCATTTAATTGATAGGAAAAAAGGATTTTCTCTGTAATTTGAGAATCAGATGGAAAAATCAACCAGTTAAATTGTGCATCTCCAAAAACGTAGCAAACCAAAGCATCCATTTGATCAACTAGACAACAACTGAATTCAATCATAATTTTGAGTGATCAGACCGACGATACGTGGCAACTCCATGCAGAAAGACTTTGCAACAAAACTGTGCTACTAACTGTTCAGTGGGCAAAATTTAAAGCCACAAATATGATGGATGTCAAACAGCCTTGCAATTTTCTCTCCCATCTTATCTGATTCAGGTGAGGGGGAAAGAATCTCTGCAGGGTTCTGCACCGAGTTATGTCAGAGGTTATCTGCATCTGCCTCAGTAACCTCTGCAGGTTGTCTTCCACTTTTATCTCCAGGATTTATGCCTCAGCTCCATGAGCTTTCCATCAGCCTCCTGCAGGATCTGGAACTAAGGAGCTATGGACTCATATGAACTTATTTAAATGTCACTTTTGTGCATTTATGCCAACAAACCTCTCTGGGTTAGCAGCTCTAATTCACAAAGTTAGTCACACTCTCGGGCTGGATAGTTTTTATTGGGAATCCTGCAGAGGAAGATGATGCACAACTCCTCAGCTGGCCCCTAAACGCCTCACAGCAGACCTACTTTTGCTAACTTGCTACTAAAAAAGAAAAACTCTCTCCGAGCCGAGCCGGAAACTCTGCAAAAGTTCGCAAACGTGTGAAACCCTCCGCTGTGATCCCGGAGAGTGCGGTCTGCCTAGCAGCGAGGCGCAGGGAGAATCCCTGCGGAAGTTTTTCTGTTGGTTTACAAACACTGGAACCACAATGGCGGTGCGCCTTTTCTTTGAAAGCAGCAGCACACGGCGCAGTTTGTGCGCCTTCTTCTCTACACAACCTGTGCACCGAAACAAGCAAGACAGAGGGGGAAACTTAGCGCCGATCCCCCTTTCCTTCCCCCCCTGCGACTGCGAAAAGTTTGCGCCATTTTTGAGCGAGCTTGCGGCGCTTGCAGGACAACATGAGGGGGAAAAAAGTAGCCTCCGCTCACCTTGGCGATCGCCTTCTTGTAGCGCATGACAGCCTGCTGGATGAGTGCGTGGACTTTAATGTTCCCGTCCCCGCACGGAACCACCACCCGGGTCCTGCCGAAGCATACCGTCACTTTCATGGCTCAGGCTCCGAGGACTTGCCCAGGTTCGGAGCAAAGCCGAGACGAGGAGGACAAATCCGAGAGGGAAGCGCACGGGAGCATGGAGGGTTTGTTGTTGTTGCCCGAGGTTATCCCGGTTTTCCTGCCGGGAAAATGAGGACTAAATCCCGTCCCGCTTCTCCCCGCCGGACGACATTGTTGTCTGTGTTTTCACACCACCTGTTTAGCTTCTCTCTCTCTCTCTTTATCCCTCTCTCTCTCTCCTTCCTTCCCTCTCTGGATCCCGATCCCTCTCTCCGGGCTGAGCTAATGCTCTCTGCTGCGTTCACTGCCCGACAGGAGTATCGGAGTCCAGACAACCAAACTTTTTGTTTAAAAAACGCTGTTTAATATTTATCAAATAATTCATTAAATCTTAAGATTTCAAACTGTGATGGAACAAGAAACTTAAAATAAAACAAGTCTTAAATTCATGCATCTTATTATAGAGTTGTTGTGTTTTTGATTGGATTTACTAAGATTTTTTTAAACCATTTAATTTGAATAAAGAAAATAACAATTAAAAAATAAACTGTGGGTGGGAAAACTAACCCTTTAGAAGTGGACAATGAAAAAAGGAAACTCAAATAATATATAGAAAATGAAACACCATATTTGTGAATAAATCAGCCAATTAATAGTAATTTATAAAGATTTATAAATTACAGACAACCTCAATTTTCCTATGGGATTAATAAAATTTAACATAACCTAATTTAACTAAATCAGATGTAAAATGCATACAAATAAGTATCTATTAATGAAAAATGATGCACACAAGCAAAAAAGATAACAAGCATAAAATGTGGTTTTAATAAAAAGCAGTAAAAAATATTACATAAAAAATATTCGGATAAACCCCTAATTTCAGGGTAAAGTTGGATATTTGATATGTTTGATTTTTAAGTAGAAGATTTAAATATACACTGCTCAAAAAAATAAAGGGAACACTCAAATAACACATCCTAGATCTGAATGAATAAATATGAAAATAATTTCCACCTTTTGTCTATTCCATTTGCACAACAGCAGGTGATATATTGCCAATCAGTGTTGCTTTCTAAGTGGACAGTTTGATTTACTTGGAGTTATATTGTGTTGTTTGAGTGTTCCCTTTATTTTTTTGAGCAGTATATATTACAAAAGTGGAAGGCATCAATCTGTGAGCTCTGACTGTGAAGTGTTTTGCAGAGAGACATATTAGAGGAAGAAACTGTCTCTGCAGCTCTTGTGCCATTGTTGGTATAGCTTTTATTTTAACTAAAACAAATGCATAATGTTATATTTTTTGATTTATAAAATCACTTTATTAAAAAAAAACTTCAAAATTAATCCATAGAATGGAACAAATAAATGTTTTCTAAAACTTTCCCTTAAAATTCTGCTGATAATTAAATAAATTCTGAGATTAACTAAATAAAAAAGTGTTGAATGAAACAAAGTTGTTTTTTTTTTTTTTTTGTCTAGATTAATTTCCAAACGTTTGGCGGTCGTGAAGCTGTACATTACGAGGTGCTCCTGAACGCCTCACACAAGCGCCGTCTGGCCCCGCTCTGCGGTCAGGGCGGGTAATGCTTGAAGGGCCAGACTCAGCAGTGGGTCGATGATCCACTGCAACTCTGTAAATTATGCAGATTTAGGAAATCCCTGAAGAGTTTCTGACATGTAGAATATGATTGGTTTCATGTAGAGCTTCGGGTCACCAATAGAAAATACCTGAAGACTTTAAACAAAGACGATCGAGACTAAAAATCAAACACTTATTTAAAAAATATATGTAAAGTTCAATTCATTCATCAATTCATTCATTTAAAGTGCAATGTATTTCATTAATAATTGTTTTCTAAACACTTCTGGTGTTTTTAAGGTTTTCTAAGCCTTTTTAATGCTAAAGTCTCGCTTATGCTTATGTTGACACAATTTTTAAGTCTGAATCTGAGCTCATTTTATTGGCTTAATTAAAAAGAAGTTGTTTCAAGAGGGTGTGGAGGAAAAAAGCAGACAAAAGCCAAACAGAAACGCCAAAAGAACTCCTTTAGATTATTTACTCACTCGGAAATAATCTACAAGAAAATCTGGCAAATTAGAAGTCAATAAATCTAAAAATAATAATAAGAAGAAGAAGAAGAAGAAGAAGAAGAAGAAGATTATATAAGTTTCTAATTATATCTAAGGTTTAGCATCATACATACCTGTCCTGTGACCCAATTCTTTGGGTTTAAAATGCTTTTGGTCCTGAGAAAAGTTTCAGTTTTATTCAGTGGGGTGAGGAAAATAAAAAAAAGGAAAGCGTCTCCAGCTTTTGAATTCATGGAAACTGTGTGTGTTTTGTGGCTTAAAACAGGCAGAGTTAAAACAGAAGCTCTCCATCATGTGATGCCAGCACAGCTGGGAGGTTATTTGATCTCCCAACACAGCTGGACTCCAGCCTCAACCTCAGCAGCTGTCACAAACCATGTAAATAGCTTCGCATGTGCAGAATTTGACCAAGTGACCAAGTGTTTATGAGGATATTTATGAAAATGTTCACCCAAACCATATGGAGCAAAAATAAAATACACATCAACAATAGATTAATGCTTGGCGGTTGTTTATCTCTTCAGTGCAAGACCACAAACTAAAGATAAAACGGTGGAAAAAAAACTATTAAACTTTTTCAAAAGGGCAAAAAGATAGCATCTTGTTGCCATTTTTATCTGTTCATGCCTTTTTGTTGAGCGTTTACTGAGGAGGAAGTAGATAAATTAAAGACGAAATAAATTACTCTAAACAGCAGCAGCGCATCTTAAATGCAAAATGTCATGTGAAAGTGAAAGCTGCTCTTAAATCTGCTTTATCATAAGAAAAACTAGGGCTTACCTGCAGTAGATCATGTTTTCCATAAGAGTCCATATGAGTCCAATAACTAATCTAATTATACTGTTTTTTAAATGTTAATACAATAATACTGTAAAATAATGTGGAAGTAATATTAATTAAAACAATTTAAGTAAATGCAGTGAAAGCAGGCTTCAAATAAAAATATGTAATAAGCTGAATTGTTTTCAGCACTTTTCATAATTACTTTTAAAAAAAAGACTATTTTATTTTTCCATTAATTATACAGGTTAAATCTCATGTGAAAATATGTTATCCTGCTTAAGGTTTAGTTGAACATGTTGCCCTAAATAAGTTGCCATTTTTCTATAAACTGAAAAATTGCTGTTTGTGATACATCAAAACTCAATTATTTTAAAAAACAATTATTTCTTTTGTTATATTTTTCACCCATGGAGGTCGCCATTATTTCACCTGCACAATGGCTGCTGGGTTGATGACGTGATATGTCGGTTCTGTACTGGAACATACACAGGAAGTAAACACAAGAAGGCTAACGTTACCCGAGTTGTTTATTGCGCGTGAGTGTAAATTTAAACAATGCCACATTATGTCGCTGTTGACTATAATCCAAAAAGGAAACAGTGAGGTCAGTCTGAATCATTCCCAACATGAAAAAAAGAAGAGACCAGTGGGAAAGGGTAGAATACAACTTACACAGTCGTGCTCTCAACATTTTTCTCCAGAAGACTTTGAGTTTTTTATCAGAGAAAAACTGATGAAGGCTCTAACAGGTGGTTGTTACCGTCACAAGCTAAATCCAAATGCAGTGCCGACAAAGCTTCAGTGTTTTGACATAGAACTATGTGTATTGCCACAAGGGGGGACAGATTTTGGGGCAGGACAGAACACCTGTACTGAATGTGAAACCATGGACCCAACAAAAGACCTAAAGAGGCGCTAATGGACCAAAAACCAGAACAGACACATTAACTACTTACCAGATCACACAAACCGACTAGTTATGTGCCATTCATTGTTTTGTTTATGAAACTTAGGATGGCAGCAGAAGCACAAACAGCAGCTGCTTAGGCCGACTCTTTCCATTTGGCCTTCCTCATCGTCATCACTCCTTGGGATTTTTACATTTCTATTCATTTCAATGCGCTGCAGTTCAAACTGAAAAGGCTTAATGACATTACTCATTGCTGCTTTGGCTGGACATTTGGACCACCTCGCGTACCTCATTTACCCAGAATGCATTGCGACACAGCCAAGAAGAAACTGTCACACTGACCGACTGCAATTCCGTCTAAACCCAAAGGTTTGTGTTCACCTGACTGCAGCTGCAAAGAGAAGAGTTTCCCTTTGTCTCCTGACCGCCTTGGTTCAGATGTCCTTGTACCTCCAGCTTTTTCAAGACTGCAATAAAATGAAATGCAAAAATAAAGTGATGTTTGAATATGTACACGTTTATTATTGCATTGAAACAAAAGTACATAAAACTATTTCCAAATCTAAAAATAATCTTAAATATATATTAAAGATCAATAATAGAAATTACATTGAAATTTATGTTTATAACAATTTTTAATTACCAAAAAAAAATAAAACAAAGTTATTATAAACTAGAATAAGCTGCGTAAATTGAAAATAAATTACATTTTCCAAAACGATACGTTCACTTTCAACTGAGAATTGTTTCTGGGTTAGCAGCGACATCTAATGGTATAATGCATGAAATGAATTATTTCTCATTCAGCTATGAAAGTCATTTATAAAAACAACCTGTTGATTAATCATTGTACAAAATCTATTTCAGTAAACAGTAAATTTGCAATAAATTAAAACAGTAAACAACAACATACAGAATATGATACATGAAAGAATAATCTGAAATGGATCAGGAAAATTATTTTTACTTGCATTATCTCCTTTTAAACATTAAATATATTTTTATCAATTTATGTGCTACAGTTATAAGGAGCTACTAAGAACATAAACAAATTTTCAAAGATGTCCTGAAGTTTGATTTAATTGAAAAATTTATGAAGTTTCTTAGATTGTGTTAGTCGGGCAGGAAAAGGGCACAGCAGATGCTTGAATGTCTCTTTGATGGCATTAACAGCATGTAATTGTGTTCTGCGTCTATCCCAGGCTAATTTTTGTGCTAAAGCGTTGTCAGTGTGACTCCCTGCTGTCGGCCCTTTGAGCCACTCTAGGGTTCCCCTTCTGCTGCCGGTCCCGGCCATCTGGACCTCTGTGGGCCATGATGAGAAACAGCAGCATGGTAAGATGATACAAACCTGAGAAAATAAAACACAACAGCTCTGACTGTTTAAGGAAAAAGTATGTAAGCATGAAAAACTCAGTAAGCACCAAAATAAAGACATGCTATATTTTCCTTTGTAAGAGGGTTTTTCTTACCTGAAAGTCAT